ATCTCAATATGTCAAAAACCAAAAATATGGAAAGGAACCCTTTAGCTTCAGACTTCAGGGAGGGCTGGTTCCAGCCACATGAGATGCAATAGTTATTGCATCCAAGAAAGGGAAGTGATGGAGGTGCTGGCCCCAGGGTCTTAGCTCCAAGAAGGACCCAGAGCTAAGAGAAGAGATAGGAACCAGAGAGCCTGCATAGGTTCTGAGTTCAGCATCATGGCTCACAGTGGGCAAGCCTCCAAAGGGCAAGATGCCACCCTGCCCCATCCACTAGTCATTATCTTGTTCTTTTGATTAATCCTCACAACCTGTGCAAAGGCATAACCTCCTGCATTTTACAGGTGAGGAAACCAAAGAGGTCAAGAAGCTTGCTACAAAAACAGGTAGCTAAGAATTAGCAGAAGAGCATCACACCCTCGCCTGATCCACAGCTCTTTCCACTCTGAGACTTCTGATCCTCCAGCTGGCTCTCAAGACATTGCTCAGCTCTGCCTCTCCCGTCTGTACCTTAGCTTCTCCTGGCATGTCTATATTGATGGCATTCCCTCACCCTGTCCCCACTGAGCCACCAAGGCAGGTCCCTAGAGTGCTCTGTGTTTTCCTTAGAAGAAAGCTCCAAGTCTGGAGTGGCCAGTTCTAGAACCAGCTCTGAAAGTACCAAGTGGCCTCATGGATTGTGTAAAGCCAGTTTCTTCCCATATCAGACTGAGAATGGAAGAAAGTTACTTGATGGGAACCCTGGAAGTTAGAGGTGTGTTAATAACAACAGGCTCTCCAGAGGTGAGGAAGGAGAGGGCACAGGTAGACCCCGATTGGCACCATTTGCCAGTTTCCTTGGTGTAGAGATTCCCACCATGGCCACTTTCAAAATACCCATGTGATGTCAACCAGCTCACCAAACTCCCGAACATTTTAACAATTGGCTCTCACAGACCAGGACAAGGTAACCCCAGCAGGCCACAGCCTGCCTTGGTTCACCCAGGTTCTCCTCCACTTCTACTCTTTAGGCTGTGCACCCCACAGTTTATCTCAAGTTACCCCCACCCCTCTGCAGAACCCTCAGACCCTCTGTAGACAATTGCAGATTTTATTCCTTTGAGCTTTGAAATGGAAGTCTCTGGCTAGAAAAATAAATCTATTTAAAGATAAGCATTCATCCTTCAAACCAGGAAGAAATGCAGAGTTTGCTGAACTGGCCCCCAGGAGCTACATAAATTTGAGTTATCCTCCTCCTCAGGCCAGCTCTGCTCTCTTCTTCCCACACTCCCCCCCCAAGTAACAGCCTCTAGCTGGGGCCCCTTGGGATGCTCAGAGGGACTGCTTTTGATTTACATTTGTGTTCTGTGCATTTCTCTTTAGCCCAGTAGGGCCATTGCACACCTTCCACAAGGTCCTCCCTAGGAAGGAGACAGTGAGAGGCAAGGAACATCTCTCTCCTCACTTTCTATTGTAGACTTTCATTCTAACAGAAACCCCTGTGGATTTCTTCAAAGACACTAGGAAATTCATTCAGTGGGTCCAGCAATGCCTACCAGTGCCCTGACTTTTCACCCTCAAGCGAGCCACGCATTTGTAGCCAGGCCTTGCTTTATGACAGGAGTACATCACGGAAATCTTGTATTTAATAATAACAACCTCCCCTCCATCTGTGAAGCACTTCAGAGTTTCCAAAGCCCTTTTATATGCCAATAGATCCTCTGGCCACCCTGTGCTAGGGTTGGTGATTGTTAAAGCACCCTCATTGCCTCCATACCTCAAGGTTGGAGGGCACTTCACGGTTCCCTAACCTGGCCACTCTGCTAAAGTTCCCATCCCCTTCCTAGGGGGTGCCTCCTGGAGGCAGCTCATTCCAGCCTCAAAGAGTCAGGGGCTTGGGTGGGTATTATTTAGATTGTCTCTGTCCTAGGTTTAAGGTATTATTTGTAGCTTGGCCCTTTGGGGCATGCATAACAGAACTGATTTACTCCAATCCCCTCATTCAGATGTTCAAAGGGAGCGTTCATCTCCCCATTTCTCCCTACTCCCCAAATCTTGTGATACATCTCAAGTTCCTTTAAATCCTCTCCACATGACGTGGTACAGAAGCCCTTTACCATCCCAATCAGCCCTCCGCCATATGTGTTTTTATGTACTTCTTTAATCCCAGTAGGACAGGACCAAAACCCGCCTCATCCTATGAGTCATGCTTCTACATTATTCTTTGTTGTTATTCTTTTTTGACAGACACATTACACCATTATATTTTGTATATATGCAACTAGATGTGAAGTAAAACACTTCTGCTAAGTATGTTCCCTGTTCTACAGTTACATTATTGATTGCGGGGCGGGGGTGCTCAAATGTTTGAAGTGTTCAATGTTAACTTATTAGATGAAAATTAATCTTATTAGCTTTAGCCTATTGCCAAAATCTGTAAAAATCTTTTGGATCTGTTTCATGCCATCCATAAATTTGTTGAGCATTTCTTCAGACATCCTCTAAATCACTGATAAAAATGTTGAAGAGGATGAAGGAGAAATTAACTATGTGGCACTCTCCTAGGAACCTTCCCCCAAGCCCAGATCTTTCCTTTGTCATTCCTTGGTTTACTAATCCATACAGTCATCCACTGGGCCACATCTCTCCATGTTTTCCACAATAAGATCATGGGAGATACCTAACTGAGGTCAATTACATCAGATTCTCCTGATCTTCCAGCTTAATTATCATGCCAAATCCACAAATTGAGCTTCATGATAGCTGACATTTGTCTTTGTGACCCCCTAGTACATGCAGGGACTTGAGAAGTATCTGAAGAAATGGTCAGTTACATTAGCGAGTGAATGAATGAATGAATTTGGCCCAAGCCAGTGTGAAGATTAACAGGATTTCATTTTTTTCTGGAGCTACCCTCTTTCTCTATTTTGAAAGCACAAAATTGGCTTCTATCTTCTCTTATAGCACCTCCTTAATACCCATGAATCCTAAAAGGTCACCAATTTGCTTACTGATGAGAAAACAGAATCTTAGAAAAGTTAATGGATTTGCCCAAGGTCAAAGGCTAATAGAGGAGACAGTAGGATTCAAGCGATCATCTGCTAGCTTCAAGGCTGCCTTGAGGCCCAGCCAAGCAAGCCTCTTATACACTGAATTTGGGAACATCCCCCAGCTTAACCAGCAATGACAGGTATATTTATTCCTAAAAAAGAATACAGTAAAGCACAGACATTTCTTTTATAGCCTTCACTTCATTCACCATCTGTCATTCATTCATTAATTGATTCAACAAATATTTATTGAATACCTACATGTGCCAGACTCTTCTGAGCCCTAGAAATAAAACTGTTGTTAGCCTTCCTCAAGCCTGATTTTTAGATAGGAATGAGGAGAAAATAAAAAAGCAAATAAATAGTATATGATCATAATAAGGACTATACAGAAAAATAAAGCAATGGACAGAGAGCCTGGAATTTACTTCAAAGGGGCAGAGCCTGAGCAGGGAAATAAATTAAGACATGCAAATGTCTTAGGGATATACACATTAGCAATAATGTACTTGTGTTCAGAGATGCAGTATTTTTTCTTCCAGAAAGCAGGGACCTAGATCCATGATGAACTGAACTTCCCAGCTATAAAATATCCGAATCCTTCAAGGCGTATTCATTCATTTATTCATTTACTCACTTTCTCAACAAATATATTTAATAAGCACCAATTGTTTTTAGTAAGCATGGTTACTAAATGAAAGAGAAAACACAGTCTCAGAACAGGAGACAGACAAGTATGTTTAGGCCAACAACACAGTGTGCTAAGAGCTATCATGGTGCTAGGGACAGGTTGATGTAATAGAACATTCAAGGCATGTCACCAGCCACACTTTTTGCATCTATTTGACTGAAAGAAATATAATGTAAAAGCATTAAATTTCATAAAGATGGTTTTCAAAAATTTTAAAGCTACTGAACCATTTCTTTAAATGAACCTTACACAGGAAGTCTAATATATAATATTGAAAGGAGTTGTTCTGGTTGGTACAAAATTGGAGGCCTCAGGACACCTTCAAAAAGCTATAGCATAGGATGAAAACCACTTCTCTAAATATTTGTTATAGCCAAGAGCAGGAATCTGTCCAACTCTACCAAACTTGGAGAACCATTCAGTCATAAATCAAAACTGTTAAAAGGATTACCTCTTGGCTTGTGTTTAAAGGAATAAATAAACCTCTGCCCCAAGGAGAACTGATTCAGCTACTTTTTTTTTTTTTGCTCTTCAAAGTCATCAAATCATCCAAAGACTCTAAGCGTAATTTAAATGTCCTTTGTATTGTTTTTTTCTACTTCTGGGCAAAGTTCACCCCATTCACATTAAGAACCTCTATTTCAAAGTGTGCTGGTGTAAGATGGCTTCAATTTTTTTTTCTAGAACATTTCCACTCAAAAAAGGCATTCTTTCAGAATGAAATTATGGCATTTGCTAGTAAATGAATGGAACTGGAGAATATTATGCTAAGCGAAATAAACTTATCCCAAAGAATCAAAGACTGAATGTTTTCTCTGATATGTGGATGCTAGTTCACAATAAGGGGGTGGGAGAAGAATAGAGGTATTTTAGAGTAGACAGAGAGGAATGAAGGGAGGGGATGGGGTATGGGGTTGGGAATGATAGTAGAACGAATCAAAATTATTATACTATGTGCATATATGATTACATGACCTTATAACTCTATATCATGTACAACCAGACAAATGAGAAGTTATACTCCATTTATGTATGATGTATCAAAATGCATTCTACTGCTATGCACAACTAATTGGAACAAATAAAAAAAATATTTTTCAAAAAGGTCTTCTTTCCTTGCCACTATAGTTAGTATGTGTATAAATAGATGCTCATTTTGCACTTACAACTCTCTTGCCGACATTCTCTTCTCCAGGTACACCACAGGCCAAGTTTGACCTCACACTCCAGCTTAGGAACCTGATGAACTAACCAACCACCTCTCCCCTTTCTTCTCTCTGCAGATGACGGCTACTGCCCAGCCACCCTCCAAGGCCCAGGCTGTCCATATCTCTGCACCCTCAGCTACGGCCAGCACACCTGTGCCTAGTGCCCCCATTGACCCTCAGGCCCAGCTGGAGGCTGATAAGCGAGCTGTGTACAGGTAGGAGACATTTCATCATGCTCAGAAGCCCCCAGCAAGTCTCAGCCCAGTTCAACTATGAGAGAAATAAATGCAGGCCAGGATGGTGCATTAGCAGCAATGTCCCACAGCTACTCTCCAACAAGTCAATCCAGAAATCTCCTAGTTGGCCATTATGGGTTGACTGGAAATGTCCAGTGAGAGATATGAAGACCTGGGGCAGTATCTCCCATGAGGACCCCTAATGAGATGAGACCTAATGAGCATCAGAAACTTTCAGCTTGGCAGGACTCTGTCCTTGCTCTGCTTCCAAATGTTAGCTTCACTCCAGCAAGTCCTGCAGAACAGGGGACATCTGATTGTACCATGCAAGACTTGGTAGTACACAAACTTTAGTGTGCATGCAAATCACAGTGGGAGATTGTTAAAACCCATAGTCCTGGACTGCATGCATGGGGAGGCTAAATCTTAGACTCCATGCTCAGAGATGCTAAATCAGTAGGTCAAACTATAGAAAGAGGAACATGAACTTTAAAAAATGATTCCAGGTGAATCTGATGAAACTGGTCCTTGGACCATGCTTTGATTCATGAGAGTCTGTTTTAGTTGTAGGTGTTGTGTGTGACTGTGGAGGTCTGGACGCTCTTCCGCAAGATGAGCACATAGGCAGGCCTCTGCTTCATCCTGTTCTGCATCTGCCCCATGCAGCCAATGCTGGGTCCTGAATGTTTCAGAGGGGTGGATAAGGCTCAGGGAAGTGACTGTCTGCCTTGATGAACTCTAGTCCTTTTGCATGTGATTGGGAAATAAGATATGGTCATCTGAGAACAGGCCTGAATGAGGTTCCAGCAGGCTTTTAGTTAACATTTATTCACGGGAAGTTCACACTACTAAGAAAAAATGCCTAAGTCTGCACTCCGTTGGGGCTGGACACTGGTTCATATTCACCTGTGGGAGATCATATGCTCCCATGCATCAGCAAGTACAGTTTACCCTGGCTGGGTATACATTGCAGCCAATACTAGTAACAGGTGAAATGATGAACACAAGACAAATGAATAAGGGAGTTGATTCCTTCCTTTACTCCTCTATCCGCCAATGCCTTTATGGTAATAGTGGTAATTAGTGCTGTTATTATCATTATCACTGGCATTATTTTTAGTTACTCAGATGAACTGAATGCCTCTAATGCCAACAACTGGGAATCCAGAGCACCGGCCTGATCTGTGAATGCTGGTACCACTGAAGGCTTTCTAGACCCCAAAGAAGGATAAAACACAGTGGCTGGTCCCCACCCTATGCAATGTGTGTACAAGCTCTACCTTGGATCCCAAAGAATTCTAGGATCTAGTCACAATATCTGTCAAGGATACTTTCAGGGAGGGCAAGCCAACTTCCCCCAGTGTGGGATGTGACCTTTTGTTCTCTCTAATACTCCTTCCTTCACACTTTTTTTTTTTTAAATTTGTAGTTGTAGATGGACAGAATGCCTTTATTTTATTTGTTTATTTTAATGTGGTGCTGAGGATTGAACCCAGTGCCTCACACATGCTAGACAAGTGCTCTGCCACTGAGCTACAGCTCCAGCCCTCCTCCTTCATACTCTTTTATTGAACACTTATTATTAATATTTCAGATACTGTCTGGACTTTAGGGAAAGAGGGCCAGATAGGAAAGTAAATGCATGAACTCTTCCCTTTATCTCTCCAGGAACCAATAGATATGCAAATAAGAAACCAGCACTGTGTGGTCACAGCAACAGGGCAGACTTTGTACTTGAGTCTGGTCTTATAGGCTGAGTAAGGGACCCCACCAGGTGATGATATGGGGAGGGAGTGGCAGAGGAGAACCTGGGGTGTTTCAAGCACAGCCAGTGGCTAGGGCAGCTGGGTTTGGAAGATGAGACTGCAGGGTCACCCATCAATTAACATGAGCAATGTGTGATGGGCGTGTGCTTTTGTGAGGAGCCTAAGAAAGAGGGAGTAAAGTGGTCTCTGAAAACTGCCCAGTGGCCTGAAGTTTTGGGTATATGTTTGTCATATTCTACTTGGATCATAACTCCAAGTATATATAGTCCATGGACTAGCAACATCATGACATGTAAGAATTAATTAGAAATATAGACCTCAGGGGACCTTAGACCACAGGATTCATAATCTACACTTCCACAAGGTCCCAGGTGATTCATATGCATACTAAAAATTGATTTGGGGCATCTTCTAAGATCTGTAGGGGTGAGTAAGTAACTTTTTGATTACAAGTACAACAGAAAGTTTCTGGCAGTGTGGGTTGAGTTCTGCCTCCATGGAGTACTAGTCTGTAGTCTCTCTGAATTTTAGTTTTATGAGAGAACCAAAGCAGATTTGGTAAGAATTCGTGAGATGGTTCATGTAAACCCCTGATACCTTGAATTTCCTTGTCTCCGCCAGAAGAATCCATGGGTTCTAAGTCCTTCCCAAGATCTCAGGCTCATACTCCTTCCAGGCCAGGCTACAGGAGAGGTGGGTCACTGTCCCATGGGAGCTGTGTACCATGATGTCACTTGAAAAATGGCCCAGGCCTTCCTTCAACTAACATTTCTTCCAGCTCATCTTCACTCCAGAGTTTTCCCTTTTCCCTCCAGGCTTACCGCTCTGCTCTTCGTAGTTTGCCCAAAGTCTATCTGCAGTCATCTGATCCTGTAGAGGGGCTCCTAGACAAGCATGGCTGCTTGCTACATACTGGCTGGTTGGAGCTGATATCTACTCCATAGCCTATCTCCCCAGCCCTCCAGTCCTGTATTGCCTTCTGGTCCCGTGCCCCAGGATTTTCTCCCACAACCACACCTCTCCCATTAGTACCAGCAGCCCTCTAGGCAGCCATTGTGGGATGACCCAGGTTCTGTAGGGTTCAGTAATTTTAATTAGATTCCCTGCCTAGGGCAGCCTAGTTGCTCCAAAGCACACCAGGGAGTCCCATTTCATGTCAATAAATGTAACAAGACCCTTTCATTCAGATTAGTGCCCAGGACTGACTTTTGGAAGCCCCTGCCATACCCCTTCCAGAACCACAGAGAAAAGTCAGGGAAGCCTAGCTCTGGCCCTGCTGGGTGGTAGAGGGGCAGAGTGACAAAGGGGAGGGAGGCTGCCAGTGCCCCAGAGGTTTTATTTGTGTATGAGGATGTGCTAATGAAATGTATTGGTTCCCTTCTGATGTAGAAGCTGGGGGTGGGGGAAAGCAGAGCCTGTCTTTAATTGGATCATACCAGAGCATCATCTGGGCTAATCAGCAAAGCAACCAGGAGCTCCCGCTCAGATTAATGATTGCAGTCTAATCCGAGCAGATCCCATGATTGGATACACATCCCGGGTAATTGTGTTTGTGGCCCAGGAGCTAGGATGAGAGGAGGTCTGAGGAGGCCTGGTGGTGTGTGTGTGTGGGGGGTAAGGTTTGGACCCAACTCAGATCTCTCGTTTTCCACCTTCCTCCCCTCAACCTCAACCACCCTGACATTTTCTCCCAAAGAAGTTCAAACACCCCCATTTGCCCATGCTGCTGGACCATGGCCAGGTGTCAGGTGCTGTCTGAGACCTGGGGATTACGTTGCTGGCTGTGCAAAGACAGGGCCAAGAGGGTGAGGTTAATCCAGCTTTCACTCTCCCTCCTCCCCTCCATTCTCCTTCATTCCCCTTTGAAGTGAGTGGGTTCCCATGGAAACCATGATGTCCTGGGGAGCAGAAGAGTGGCAGGGAGCTAGGATGGCCAGGTGCAAGTGGGGGGAGGAGGGAGGCTTTGCAGAACCTGCTCTGCTAAGGTATTGGCTTTCTCCCCTACGGCGAAAACCTCTCTGAGAACTGGGAAGTGGCCCACCCAGCAGCGCTGAAGAAGTTACCTATTATTGATAAGGAAATGCTGGGCTGGAGGGGCAAGCAGTGCGAAAATAGCAAGGGCATTGTACTTTGCTTCTCTATTAAAAATGCTAGAGAAATAAGCTGCAGGATCAGGTAGAGAGGGTGAGATGGCTTCTGTATCCCGTGTTAACATTTAACATCATTTCTATTCCCTACACTACATTGTGAACTCCACGAGGACAGGGGTCCATGTCTGTCACTCACTGCTTTGTCTCCAGCACCTTACACAATCTTAGGTGCAGTGGGTGCTGAATGGCCTGTTGGATGGATCTGTTAAATAGGTTAGGCAGTACCCCATAAATATACTGAGGTCCTGGTAAATGGCCCTAGGGGGTGAAGTAGGGAGAGAGCCCTGAACTGTATGTAGTGTTTGCCTATTTCTATGGTGTAAATGTTCCTACTACAGTCCATCCCAAACTGCCAATGTGTGCTACTGAGCAGAGTTGCATGCTCTCAGTTCTAGGAAGAGATGCATGCATTCAGTCCTTGCTAGACTCAAAGTACAAACTCCAGACAGGGAGCCAAGGTGCAGGTGCACAGTTTTTATTTATAAACAGATGAGCCCAATCTATATGCTGATTCTTTGGAATAATGTTACTGCTGCCTTTGTCAAAGATCCTACATTCCTGGTCCTCACCATCCTGTCTGGTCTAATTGGGGTTCTTAATTTGAAATGTTCCCTCTTAATGAATTAATACTTAGAACAGTGCTTGGCACAGAGTGTTTTTATAAGTGTCTGCAGTTAAGATTTTGAGCCTAAACGTGAAGGCAGTAAATTTTCTCCTTTGGAGATTCTACTCGGCGCTCTTTCCCACCTTCACTGTCCCCTGGTCTTTTGCAAGTTGCTTCTAACCCTTTCTCATCATTGAATAAACTCTTTCCCGGAAACTCCAGAAATCCTGCTGCAAATCCTTCCTCTACCTCCTCTTTTGACTCCATACCATGTGTCTAGGTTTTCAGATCAGTCTCACTTCACTGTTGTGCTTCTACCCAGTGGTGCCCTACCCCCGATAGCTCATGTCCAAGACCAGCTCTAGCTCAACAATGCCATATGTATTTCTAAAGGCCTGATTATATTGCATCCAGACTGAGTTTCTCTTAAATCCACACCTCTCTGGAGAAAAGATAGAA